TTTTGGTAAAGTTTTTATCTTTTTGAATACATTTTAGTCTCGTCTTATTTCGTCAACGAAATTGCATGTTGATATAGTCTTAGTTATTGTTTATTGACCTTATTGTCGTCTCATCTTAGTCATGGGAAAAAAGCTCGTCAACAAACATTTTTCATCATAGTCTTCGTTACCGAAATTAACACTATTTAGCTGACAGATTGATAGCAAAATCAACACCCACAAAGTTGCCCATCTTTCATAGATTTATCTTGCTAAGCGCTATGACGTTTTTTTGTAGGCCGACCTGTAAGCTCTCATCACAAAAACACAAAAGGATTTTCCATTCTTTTTTTTTTTCTATTATTGCAGCAAATAAGCTCTGTGATCAACAAAAGCTTACGATTCTTACATGTTTTGTCCATCATGATAATGAACACAACTTTTATGAATTTTGAAGCATAAATACAAGTGCCAGAAGTAAAAAGCGAAACGTAGGTTATAAATGAACTACGCCACGGTCACATGACTTCAACATAATCACCATTAAGCTTCCGACAACTCTTTCAGTCTTTATTTAAAAACATGATTATGAACACAACGAGGCTGTGAGAGTGACTAGTAAGTAGATGAGTTTATCTGTTCAGTGTGATCTTAGACAAACTCTGGAGTCCCATTTAGACACTTGTTATCAACCACCTTTTTCAAAATCACAAGGGGGTACTACTGATGTATTTTATATTGTAGAGTAACACATGAAAATATCTTGAGCTTGTGTTAAACACAAACCTTATTTCTGAAATTGAACCATTCAGAAAACCCATTGACTTCAGGACGATGGAACTGGAAGTGCTAAAATGCAACTTGTTTCCTTGTTTTGGCCTACAAAAATACACCATCCCTGCAACTCTCCATAAATGCTGGTCATGCTCCCCAGTAGATGTCCCATCTTGTTGGTGTTGTACCAGTGTGCCTGTCCTTCACCTTTGACCCTGCTCCTAAATCCTGTAGCTGAATCCTGTCCCTTCCTCTTTCTTCCTGTCCTCCTGTCCTTCCTTCTTCATGTATCACCTGCACCTGACATGGCTGACAGTGAGTTAACATCTAAAATGAAACACAGGGCTCAGACGGCCACCCCGGGGTCCAACATCACCAAGAGCTCCAGTGTGGGTGGAGACATGTGCTCGCTGGGCAGGAACGACGACGAGGACGACGACAAGAAGAGGGGCTCCAGCTTCGGAGCCAAGATGGCTGCCATGGTGGGACTGGGGAAGAAGAGTCAAAGCACCTCCCAGCTGGACCCAGAGGGTGAGTGAAAAGAAGAGGCGCTCCAGCTTCGGAGCCAAGATGGCTGCCATGGTGGGACTGGGGAAGAAGAGTCAAAGCACCTCCCAGCTGGACCCAGAGGGTGAGTGAACTGAGCTGGTACAGAAAACACAAACATGTGGTGAACTTTATGAAACCACCCTGCTAAAAAAGGCCGTGATGATTTCACATGTTGGTTCAGTGCTGGTGAAGCAGGTTGACCATGCTAGTTTTGATGTTTAAGCTAGTTAAGGCGTTTTCTGGGGAAGCACCCAAAACACACATGCTGGTGCTGATCTCTTCAGCAGGCCACTCCTAGACAACTTTTACAGTTCAGGGCATGATTCCCACGGTCATGGAAATTTTTATGTTGAATATACATTTTATAGTTTTGCTCTGCTTTAAAATATTTATCAACTAAACTTTGCTCTTGTGTTGTGTCAAAGTTGCTTGTAAGCCATAGTTTTGTCCAATTGGTGGAGGCTTTTTAATGAAACAGTTCAGTCGGTTAAAGGATTACAATTTTAGGCAATTTTTAAAACCATTGTAAGCCCAAAGTCATATCAGAATGGAACACTCCACTATTTTTGAAAATAGGCTCATTTTCCAACTCCCCTAGAGTTAAACAGTTGAGTTTTACTGTTTCCGAATCCATTCAGCCGATCTCCGGCTCTGGCGGTAGCACTTTTAGCTGTAGCTTAGCATAGATCATTGAATCTGATTAGACCGTTAGCATCTCGCTCAAAAATGACCAAAGAGTTTTGATATTTTTCCTATTTAAAACTTGACTCTTCTGTAGTTACGTCGTGTACTAAGACCGACGGAAAATGGAAAGTTGTGATTTTCTAGGCTGATATGGCTAGGAACTATACTCTCATTCCGGCGTAATAATCAAGAAACTTTGCTGCCGTACCATGAGTGCAGCAGGCGCAATAATATTACGCAGCGCCTGAAAATAGTCCCCAGCACGCTCCCTGTGCAAGCAGGTGGTCACGTTGGTTATGTTGACGGAAGTTGGCCTATTTTCAGGCACTGCGTAATATCATTGCGCCTGCTGCACCCATGGTACGGCAGCAAAGTTCTTTTTTTTTTCTGACCATGTATGCAGTAGTTACTCTGCTGGACTCAGATGAGGTGACGGTGGCACCATCACATTGGTTGAGCTCAGACAAGAAACAATGTTACTGGCCCCCATTCAAATCAACAGAGAAGTGCATGGAAGCTGTTCAGAACAGAATGAAAACTGAAACAGGAGGGAAACAATGGGATAAATTAAATATTAGCTTTCACAGAGAATTTGGTAATGGTCACTATTTATAAAGATTAAGTTGTTTACACTCATGTGTTCAAGATATAAGTAAAATGTTTATTATTTTTTACTTAGTGACACCATATGACATAAGTCTTTTAAAGTGATAGTTCACCCAAAAATTATGATGTATGGCAGAAAAATAATGACAAAAAAGCATGCTGAATTGCACTAACTGAAAAATGTATGCTTTGCATTAACAGTGCTTGCATTTTAATGTGTTGAATTTTCAGGGCTTGCATTTTTAGGGGCCAAAATTCAATATGGTTGTATATTTAAGCTGTGAATATTTAAATTCAAAACATTTCACACATATTTTCAAAATTTCACCTTCCAGAGTTCACGTCCGAAATATTCAGTCTGAGTCAAAGACATTTGTCATTATATTTCTTCCATAATGATGAATGATTTGAAAAGACATTTTTCAAAATAGTCCTACATGTTTGAAACCACATGAGGGTGAGTAACTTTTTCGATTTTTATTAAATATTTTGGATAAATTATCCCTTTAATATATAGTACAAAAGTTTCTCAAAACCATATGAAACCAATATGGATACAAAAAGTGCCGTTTTTTGTTTTAAACTAGAATTTTAAATGATTTTCTTTATCATGAACACTTTTATTTGTCATTGACCCTGCTAACTTGAATAACTGCAAATTAAAGAACTACTAAACACTAACAAAGTTTTATAAGAAAAAATAGAAACTTTACCTTTAAAAAAAAAAGCTTAAAAATCTTTGAAAAAAATATTCCTTTACTGTTCCAAAATGACGACCTGTTCTCTCTCTCTCTCTCTCTCTCTCTCTCTCTCTCTGTGTGTGAGAAAAAGCACTTTGTCATTCAATCTTTCACTGGTGGAAGTCGTAACCCAGTGAGCAGCCCATCTGAACACACACACACACACAGAGCAGTGATATGAGCTAGCTTTGAGGAAGCGCATGTCCCTCTCTACAGATCACAGACAGGATTCAGGGGTCCCACTGGAGTAATCATGCCTCACGCCCCGCTCTGCCTCATAAAGACCTGCTGGGATGGGATGGATTGAATCGGATGCTCCGCCTATTCATGCAGTGAAATCTATGATCAGACACACTGGTCAATGCTTCCCTTTAGATAAAGTAGATTTACAGCATTTGCAGCATGTGAGGGGGTAAATTGCCCTCACAGATGCCCTGTTGCCGTCTGTTGAGGAAAGACTGTTGGGTTTAAAAGATATTTGCTGCTTGAGGAACTTCCTGCAGTGCTTGCTTTGATTTGACTGGTGAGTTGACAGAATGGATGCAAATGGGCACTATCACTAGAACAAAACGTTTCTCTGGCTTTGTGTAAAGTATGTACAGTTGGACCACACCAGTGCCAGTGCATTCCCTTGCAATAAAGAAATATGCTTAATTGCATTGAAGGTGCACTTTAAGTGTACTTCCAATCTTAAAAGTATATTTTTAAACACCTGTACTTGTAGATAATATAATATGAATTAAATAAAAGTCTTCTTAAGTGCAAGTAAAAAGAGTCCACTTTCATGACTATGTTTCTTAACACACTTCAGTACACTTTTAAAAACTAATGTCAATTTAGTTTTTTTTTTTCCATTAAATTACATTTTAAATCTAGGGATGTCAAACGATTAATCGCATCCAAAATAAAAGTTTGTTTACATAATATATGTGTGTGTGTACTGTGTATATTTATTATGTATATATAAAAATACACATGTGTATATTTAAAAAATATTGTATATTAAAATATTGTATATTTATATATA